CACGCCATTAGCACAATACTAAAAGTTTTTTTATAATTAGAAAAAAAAACACTTTTTGCCGGGGCCTGGATCTTAACGTGTTTCCCGTCCAGTGCCCTTATACAATGAGGGAAATTCCACTACTTCTCAAATTCTTCTACTATCTTTAGCCAATCTTCCTGTGAAGCTGGGGGTCTTAAATATTCACTGGTCTCTTTGATTATGTAGTGGACAGTAGAGTGACCTACATGGTATTTCCAGGCAATTGTTTGCATTGACGTTCCTTGAGAAAAGTAGCTGAAAATAATAAGAACTCCATATATATACGAGTACAAATGTATACATTATATAGTTTTTAACTTAAATTAAAATATACTTACTGTAAAGTTATGGCCAGGCGTTCTTCTGCGTTAATACCATCATATATCCCCCTTTTTGTTAAATATGGCATCAACATATTCAATAAATTGTTGAATGCGTTCCCCGACATCCTCGTATATTTTTGGAACTGCCCAGGATCATTCGCCTTCATGGGAAGAAAATATGCTCTATAAAAGCCCTTTGTGGCTCTTTCTGTATTTATCTTCCTTGTTTTAACAAGCCGCTTTTTACAGAGATTTTTACAAATTAAGTAGCAGAATAGAACTCCTGCTACAATAACACTATCGATATCCATTTTAATAGGACTTAAAACAAACTGGTAAATTTTATAAAATACTACGCCAAGTGAAGATGAGAAGCACAAAAATAATAGATAATTAATAGACACGTGAAAAATGACAAATGACAATACCAATACCACAGAAGAGCATAGACTGCTGACAATGACATTGACATGCAGAATCCGATAGAAACCAACGCGCATGTCTACGGTAAATATATCGTTACGTCTTACGGCCGCTATGAATCGATTCTTTAAATGCCTTACGTCTTACGGCTATCGATACGGGTTACGGCTACGGAACTCTGAATCCAGCATAAGTGTATGCGTTCTCAATAGGCAGTGTTGCCATTCTGTTCCCCTATAAGTAACTGTCGAGTTAACAACCTGTATATGACGGAGCGGCTGAGGCGTAACATTGGCTGCCATAGTCTAGTTTGGAAAGTATAACGGCTTTATAAATATTTAAGAGTATTGAATACCCCCTTTGAATACTTGATATTCGCAGTATTTTGAGGTCTGATACAGTTGGTTTCATGCTGCTTGATGTGAGGGAGCCAGCCAAAAATTTGTGTTCATTACGAGATGAAATGTGGCCGTTTATATTTAGATTACCGATGCGAGGGCAGTTTCTGAATTTACAGAAATGCACTCAGGCTGACTTATCGGTCTCAAGGATAGACCACAGCTAGTTGCCCAATTTGGCAAAAGATCGAGGCATAACTGTAGTTGGGCTTCGCTAATCTTGTAGTCCTGGGATGAATGATAAATGACTATAATCATTTATCATTCGCGTAAATATTATCATCTGCGAAGATCCTATAGTTTAGATGCATTGGTATAATTATATTTTACAAATTTATAAATCTAATTTTTTCTTTGACCTTTTGTATATTTATTTGGGATTTATTCTTGGTTTTAGGCCTTTTCAATAAGACAGTAACGATTTACAGCAATTTTAGCATTGAAAGCATGCCTTTGCTTTTCTTCGTCAACACCCAACACCCTTCTAAAAAGTGTTTATGAATTTTGTCAAAAATAATAAACACTTTTTAGAGGGGTGTTGGGTGTTGACGAAGAAAAGCAAAGGCATGCTTTCAATGCTAAAATTGCTGTAAATCGTTACTGTTTTATTGAAAAGGCCTAAAACCAAGAATAAATCCAAAATAAATTATATTTTACTAAATATTACTAAATATAAATTTTTAAAAAGTAACTATATTCGTTAATATTTAGTCTAGAAGAAAAATGATAGGAGATATAATGTTTGTGAAATTTAGAATTTTCTATAAAAAAGTGTCTAGTTTTTTTGAAAAAAAAAATACAAACGGAGATATTTGAATAAAGCAAAAAGGTCCAAGATGGCGGCGGTTTTGGACCGAATGGGACTTTTGAGGGGTTAGGTTAAACAGGAGATAATGCGAATTATCTACATATTCGCGCTGAGATTGGTTGATTACTATTTTTTTAAAGGCTGTTAGGTTAAAATTAATTAAAATTTAAAAAATCTCAATCTAATCTCAAAAATGTTTTCAATGGCACATTCTATGTCATTTTTACTGATTGACTTTACAAATCTTTCAATTACTAATTAGATATCATACAACTATTTTTAATAGTGTGCGATTAATTCCGATGTTTTCTATTTTCCCCATATTTTTACTACACTAATGCTATATATAATATCATAGTCGCTATGAAAAAAGTAATAAATAATGACGCTCTGACTTGTTTGTTAAGCAAAGTAAGAACAAAACTTGAATTCAAGTTTAATTTGTTGTTTGAGTTGAGGTAGTAAATTTAGAGTAAAGATAATAGTTACGGATTTTCCTACACTTTTTTTCTAGCAAAATAAAACACTAAATCACCACAATACACCAAAACACTTTTACTTTTACACTGGACGCGAGTTTCGCTAACCATGTTAGCATCATCAGCAGATGATTATAAACTTTTTTTTTTAGTTATATTTATATATATATATATTTAGTTTATAATCATCTGCTGATGATGCTAACATGGTTAGCGAAACGCGTGTCCAGTGTAAAAGTAAAAGTGTTTTGGTGTATTGTGGTGATTTAGTGTTTTTATTTTGCTGTGTAACACCAAAGGTTCCAACCCTCAACTGTAACTTTTTTTCTACTTGAAAAGGACATTTTTTTGATAAAAGGTTGTGACAAAAAGGCATATTTGGCCACTAGCGCAGAAATCTAAAGCAAATAAAATAGTATATTATTTTATTAGGAGTAAAAATTATACTTTTTGTGGCGAGGTTGTATGTTATGACAGTACAGGCGAGACACAAAAAGTCATTTTTACTCCGAACAGAACATGCTATTTTTTTAAACGTCACAAATACTTTTTTAAACAATTTTAAACGTTCCAAATAAAATAATAGGTATTTACGATACAAGTGAGTTAACAGCATCATTAAGACACGCGTGTGAAAGTTGCACGAGTGCGTAGCATGAGTTGTGTCACCCCTGTATACATTTAAGGAAGCAATCAAATTTTTGAGTAAAGTTTATTTCTCTGGCTTGGTTGTGAGTCAGCACCAGAATTAATTCTGAAAAGTAATGTACAAGGTGTTGACAAACCTTTTATTATAGCATGCATATTTAAGTATTTTTAAATGTCTCAAAAACCAAAGCTTTACGACATATTAAACCCTTATAATAAATACTTTATGTTATGTCCAAGAATCCAAAAATTAAATTAAATACCAGGTGTTCCATAAGAAAGAATATAACTTTGGTATGGATCATAATTCTGACACACCCTGTACATTTCAAAATTATTTTAAATTATGCACATTGTCTCTCTACACATACCCATAAAATATTTTGTTTCTACATCTTTCCGTTTTCATATAAGTAGTCAATCGAGGCGAATGAGGTGCGCCGCCCTGTATACCTATCCTAAAAATCAATTACTTTAATACCTTTGTACAAATAACACCATGCATAGCAATGTCAATATGACAATAAATAATATTGATGTCACTAGTTTAAAAAATGAGCGATTCGGAAAGTATTCCCTCTGAGATTGAAGAAGAGGCATTCAGAGCCATTTCTGGATTGCTTTTAGCAAGATCGAAACAGAAGTATGAATATACATACTCTAAGTATGAAAAATGATGCACCGAAAAAAAGTACACAACTATGAAAATGAAAAGGTACTCATAACATATTTTTTCAATTTAGTGCAAAATAAATGTTTTACAAAATATTTTTTTCTCTTTGGTAGTCATCTAAACAAGGAGTGCGATAATGCGTGAGTTAAGAACTTCTTAACTCACTTAAGAACTTCTTAACTCACTGACGTAGATAAAAAGATTTAAAAGTAATAATTTTTTGAATATTATTTTAATTTTTTTTGTTCTTTGACATTGTAAACATTTATAAATGTTTATTTTAACAATAAGACTGACAATATTATTTGTATAATGTTTTGTATTATCTTTTGTTTGTTTGTTTGTGTACCTTGTTTTTTTTACTTTGTTTGTTAGTTTACCTTTGTCTACAAATTGAAAAAATTTTTGACAATGAAGGCATTTATTTATTTATTTATTTAATACATTGTCATTACATTGTAAGTAATTATATATCGAGAAACTATGGTTACTCTCGTTAAATTTGACACTTTGTCAGTTTAATAATATATTTTCGTACTTTTGTGCTTAGGCATGGCTTAAAAGTTCTTTACTTTTATGCCTTGGCGTTAAAATGACTTTTTTATATTGACAATCACTAATACCTTTGTGACGTTTCAAAAAAAAATATATATTTTGTAAAATGTCACTGGGTTAGATCCAAACAAACCAGATTATCAGTAGCATTTCATTTGTCAAGAGATTGCCTAATGAGCTAAAAATTTAACGTTTTAAGAGTTTATATCTCGCCCGTAGCCAGGAAAATTATAAAGAAAAGACTAAAATAGCTAAATATAACTAAACAACACTACTCAAAATAATTATCCCATATTTGAATAAAAGTAATGATTACATATGTCTAAATGATGCATGCTTTTTTCTGTCTTTCTCTTTGAGTTTTTTTAGGATAATTAGAGTACAGACTGACATTTAATTTTTAGTTGGCCGACTATTTAGTTGCAAAAGTGAAAACAATACATTTTTATGGAGCCGATCGGTCCAATATTTGATTACATTACGTAGCCTAGGCTATGCGCTGACGGACAATTTTTAATCGGGCGACTATTCAATTGCATAGTTGTAACCGATATATCCTTATAGAGCCGCGCTCACATGCAATCAAATAGTCGGTCGATCGACTTCATGTTTAGTTTCGAGAATCTTCAGTAGTAGGTATAGACATTATTTACAAGAATGTTGTTTTTTTAGGTCTGAAATTGACATCTGTGTCTCTTACGCTTTCTTCAGCCCCCCGTTTCCGATACCATCGTTTGCAGTTGGGCTTTGGATCTGGATTAAATATTTCTTCAAAAGCAAATCTGGTTGACGCTTTTGTAATCCTGGACCCAGTTACTAATATACAAATACTAGATTGGTGGCACCCCCTCTATCCATGCAATCATAATATGGGATCACTTCTAAATCAGGATTAAGTTTTCTAAGTTGAAAATATATAAATCCACTAAATTTCGACTAAATACGACGATGATAAATAAGTAATAATCAGATATAATTATATTAATGTTTGTTTTCATTTGCTTAGGAGAGTGAGGTATTAGGGTGTACCAATTTTTTTTTCTTTTTATTACCGTGAAAATATCGTTCAGGATGATGAAAAAAATTCTGGTAAAGTTTGAGCCTTTAATATTAATATTAAGAGGTGTCTCGTCGTGATTTTCTATTTCCCATTTAAATAACACGAGGAAACAATTTTTTTCTTTCTTGCCTTCTAACAAATCAGCGTTTTGTAAAAATCAATACATATTCTTGTAGGAAATCGAACGGTCTTCAAAGAAGGTCTGATATGAATTTTCATTTAATCGACTCGTTTGAAAGTTATTGAAGGTTAAATTTCAACTTCAAATTGTATATGGCAACTTCCAAAAATTTCTATATTTTATTACGCAATAATGGCTTAAAAACATAAAATATCATATTTCATGTTTTTGGGCCATTATTTCGTGATAAAATATAAAAATTTTTTGAAAGTTATATACGATTAAGTTGAACTTTAACCTTCAATAACAACTTTCAAACGAGTCGATTAAATGAAAATTTATATCAGACAAACGCTGATTTGTTGGAACGCAATAAAATTCAAAAAAAAAAGAATTTGTTTTCCCATGTTATTTAAATAGGAAACAGAAAATCACTATGAGACATCTCTTAATATTAATATTAAGAGCTCAAACCTTACAAGATATTTTTTCGTCATCCTGAAATATCATTCATGGTAACTAAAAAGAAAAAAAATATTTTTTTTGGTGCACCCTAGTGAGATATATTATGGTCAAAGTTATAGTAAGAAAATGGTAGAAAGTTGTATCCAGTCCTTCCTATAATTTTGATTATTGTATTATTTAATAATTAAGGAAAAATACTTTATTTTGTATATATTTCTTTCTTGATACTTTTTACTTTGTAGTGACTAAAACAATCTTATTTTGTTGATATTAGATATCTGCTTTAAACATTTAAAATGTATTTTTTTGAATATTAAATATTCTGCTAATTTAATTATACCTTGTTTAAGATAAGTTGAGTATGAAACAAATAAATAAAAATTTTATATTTTGGGGAATATTTGGTATTATATATGACATCTTGGTTTGGTTATAATGATGCATAAAAATATTACAATTTACAAATAAGAATTATTCTGTTTTACTGCCGTGTTAATGAAAAACACCTTAACTACAATTGAGATACAAGATTTGCATTAAAATGATTAAAATATTTTCAAATTAAATGGGAAGCAAACACACCTTTTGTTTCATTTTTGGAATTTAATGAAATATAAATTCACTTCAAGTCTAAATCTGATGGTTATATTATATAAGAGTATCCTATTTTATTTTTCTTTTTCAAAAGGGGTTTTCTTTAACACAGCAGTATAGTTAACGATTTAGATCGAATATGACACAGACAAAACCTATACAGGAAAAAATGTAAAGTGATAACTCTTGTAAAGTGAGTTTATGACCTGTTCCTTCGTTGGATAAACTTAGTATGTATTGTATTTTATACAAGAGTATATACCGTATGATCAAAATAAACGGCGTTAAGTCGGCTTGGAAACAACAATGGATGACATTCGCCCTATTATTTTGCACATAAAATGATAGCAATCTTCATTTCCAAGCCAACTCTGACGCCGTTCATTTTATTGTACGGTATATAGGTATTTATTTTAGCGTTGTTTGAGATTCTCAGGTTTCATTCAGAACCTCGAAATTTGTGAAATAAATTAGTGGTTTCAATTAGCGTAGAAGTTTGTTCCTCTAATTTCAATGTAAGTATTTAGAAAGTTAAATTAGTCGTGGTAATTTTCAGTAAAAAAAAGTTAACAAACTTTTAACTTTTCCACTAATTAATTATACTTAAAAATTTGCGAGTCATTTTGGCCTTTAATTATCACCCGTCAAGAGAAATTGTGGTTAGAAATCAAAATTATATTGTTTTATAAGCTAAATATTAAGTCTTTCTCTATGGGGACAACTGACTAGTTGTTACTAAAATATTCTATTAATATTAATTGTATTTTTTCAGGGAATCGGAATGATCGTAAGAGACCACTCATTTATTGAACTAATTTAGAGGTTGTAAATGCCGCTTCAGTCACTGCAATTATTTTATGATCAATATAATTTATTATAATATACTTAGTACTGGACTTAGTGGACTCTGATAAAAATATGATTGTAACAATCATTTCTTTATGCTTTATAGAAGTTGTATTTAGTTTTTTTATACTTTTTTCCAACAAAATTTTGATGCAATGAAAATTCTATTCAAAGTTTTGTGTAATTGTGAATATTTTTGTTTTACAGTGTTTCTTTGAAATACACATAACTATTCTATTGTTTAACTATATTTTTTTATGATTGAAGGGTAAGGGGAAAAACCAGACAATGCCACAAAACCGACTTACAGTGTTTTTTTAATGTTCCCAATTTTGTAACATTAAATCACCATTATATTATCGAATACCACAAGATGTTTCGGGATTACCAAATAATACTTTTACTTGACACGAAATGCGTAACCCGGCAACACTACCTCTCCGAAGGAGGAGTGTTGCCGGTATTAGGTAATCCCGAAACATCGAGTTGTATTCGTCGGAATTAACATTTCAAAAAATGACAATTACAATATGGCCACCAAGCGATAATCACTTAAATGATTATCACTTATTAATCACATGCTTATATATAGGAAAAAATATACATAGAGTTGTATAATCATGTTAATGTTACAAGAAATTTATTATAGTATGAGTTATTATTTGGACATCGTTTGTTATACAATATGATCGAAAAAAAAAAAAACGGCGTTAGAAAACAAGTATTTTAAGAAAGCTGGCTCTTTAATATATCGTTTACTATGCTCTCTGGAACAGCATGCGGCCCGTCTGGCTGCCGGTAAATGTTCCGTTCCCTACTGCGCATTGAAAGAAGATCCTATATTTTTATTAGTCTTTTAAATTCTAGTATTGAATATAAACCGACTGAGTCTCCATAGCTCTGCGCGTAGAGGTTCCGCCTATCAAGCGAGGAGTTAGAGTTCGAGACCGGGTCAGGGCAAAAACTTTTATTTATTTTCGTTTATATTCTGATAGTAAAGTTTTAAATAATTCTGGTGATTAAGAAAAACAAATATTCAATACTATACTATCAGAATATAAATGAAAGTAAAATAAAAAAAGTTTTTGCCCTGATTCGGTCTCGAACTCTGAATCTTCGGTTCGTAGTCGGAAACTCTACGCGCTGCGCTATGGAGACTTGTTCGATTTATATTCAATACTATAATTTAACGGACTAAATAAAAAAAAATATAGGATTTTCTTCCGCTGCGCAGTAGTGAACGCAACGGGTATCGGCAGCCAGATGGGCCGCATGTCGTTCCAGAGAGCATAGTAAAAGATATATCAAAGAACGAGCTTTCTTAAAATACTTTCTCGAAAACGTTGCCAGCTCTTAGACTGTTATGAAATGAGAATCGCTGATATTTTTTTATGTAAAATTATATGGGTATGTCATCGATCGTTATCTCCAAGCTAACTGGACGACGTTTTTTTTTCGATCATACGGTATTCAATTACAATTTAGCATGTTTTAGGACTTGGTTATTCGCAACAGAATAAGTTGGCTATTATTACTTATTACTATTATAACTTAAAGACTCATAAATGAACATTGTTGGTTTCTTCCTCTTAACCTTCAATAATTAATAGATATTGTACATTTAATTTATTTTAATTAGTGATAATATAAACTTAAATTCTTCAGTTGTAAAGCCAGTTTATTTTTATATAGCATTGAGAAAATTAATCCTTGAATATTGCCTTATGGATATATAGTGTGTCTAATATACATAACGGTGATATGGTACAACTATTTTTTGTGTAATAAATGTATATTTTCTTACTCTAATTTCAATTCACAGTTCTTGGACAATTCTGTAAATTCCTACCGAGGACTTACACATTTTAATGTGTAAGATTTAAGGAGATATTTGAGTAAAAATAAACTATTTTGTATAATATTGCATCAATACGTCAGTGCAACCTGCGATACTGGGATGGTAACAAATGGGAATGCCTTTAGAAAGTCGCTGTGATAAGTTCGTGATAGTTGGGCAAAGAATAGTTGAAGCGATTGCCCTCTGCAATTTTTAAAGTGGTGGAACTTGAAGGGGAAGTCAACATAGGCCTGGAAGATTCCACGCCTGGCATATGCTGTTTTTACAATTTTCTTATTCTGGAAGCTGATTGGTAAACGGTTTAATATAATTTCATTATTTTATATTAAAATACCATTTGCGGGGTGCCCGATGGCATAGAGGCACAGCTCTCGTCCACTAATCTTAAGGTCGTTAGTTCGATCGAGCGGTAAGGTTTTCATCAGCGGACTATTTTTAGTAAAAGTAGTGTGAGTGCCTAGGTCGGCTCTGTCTTCAATAAGTTTTTTGGGTCTTGCAATCCTAAGATATAATAAGAGGCAGTTGAAGCGTTGTGCTAGCCACATTACCGTTCTTGTTTCGCAATTGCATTCTTGTATTGCAATTGCAATTCTTGTATTGAAAAGCTGAACCTTGCTACTCTCAAGGCTTGTAAATGCTATATCCTATAAATATCTATGTGGTTCTTTAATAATAAGTAGTTTCTATATAAAAAGGATTTCGTATTTTCGGTTTTAGAATTAAAATATTATGCTTTGATGAAAAATATATAATAGGTAGGACGAATAATAAATCTGTTTTAATAAATCAAATAGGTTGGTGTGTGTAACAAAAAATTACACAATTCTACGTGATACATCAGAACAATTTATTTTACAGTTTCGGAAACACTAGCAGATTCTATTGCCTGGTTTATGTAAATATATTCTAATGAAAGTGTCTTTTCCATTCAATCAAAGTATGCCGTCTGTACGTCGATTATCGGTAATCTGATTTCTTACCTACGACATAGCTAGAAAAAGTACCTATTGGTGACACATGCACAATGATAATCTGTTACAAAGTCTGCGGTCAATTTATCGTTAGACTTATAACCTATGTTTACTTTTTTTCACGTCGTAATAGGGTGTAGAATATGTATGTAATTATTGAGATAGCAGTGGGAGTTCATTTTGGAAATTAGCATTCTATGCGAACAAACTGAATTGAATTGTATTCTCCAGTTATATCCATATAATTAATTATGGCTAATTTTGATTCAATCAGTTCCTTTTACTTTAGTTTTGCTTTTCCGTGTGGCAAACAATAGTCTTAAAATTTGATTTGTAGACTGATTATTATAATATAAAAGTCACACACAATTTAATAATAAAAAGTAATTAGATTGATAGCCTGACTTTATCCGATTCGCGGAGGGAGGGCAAACCAAAAACCTGCAGTAATAAACCCCCTTTGGACCTATTTGTATATCATCCTCCGGGTGATGTACATTGTTGAAGCTACCAGACCTACCTAATTTACAAAAGAAGGTGACATTATGACTTCGGTGCGTTTTTCGTATGTTGCAGAGGCTGGACGTCATCACATACTTCATTTACATCCCACGTAGCGTGACATGTCGCTTCATTTTGTAAAGGTGTCCCATAGTTTGGCGTTACCATAAGTCCAGTTAGAATTACAGTTATAGTTCGACGACTGCTTCTGGGTATTACCAAAAATATTGTTATATCTTTATTGGGGTACTGCAAAATTTATTTGGCTCACTTGCAACTATTTTTTTTATCCTCACACTTTTTGAAGTTAGAGATCATCCTAACTTCGTGGATATCATCCATGTGATATCTTTGATTTTATCTGGCATCGCTACGATAGGCAATAAGCCAGATGGGGGCGCCGGGCGGTCCAATAATATTTAAACTGGCTGCCTTCTTGATCAGTCTATTAGTTTGTTTGTTGGGATGTTATACTGTGTGATATTAATTACCATCTCTAAAATGCATTTTCAGACCTTAACATAATATAAACAAAAACGTACAAGTGTAATATAAAACAGGAATTCAACAGTTAGACAGCAAAATATGGCTTCAGCGTTAACTTTTAACAAGATGATGTAGGTCAGTGATGGCTAATGCTTAACTTTTCTGAAACATTAAACCTATAATTTATTATGTTTTATGAAAGAATCAGGCGTATTTTTGTCAGGCAGTTTGTCGTTTATAGGTTTGGCATGTTATATGTAGGGGGCTTCCGGCTTGTCAGGAATATTTTGCATGATATTAGATGTCACGATAAAATACTTAACGAATTTATTTGTTTCACTCTGTACACACAACTTATACTATTTACAACACAACTTATGCAACTACTGTTACTCTAACGGTATTTCGCGGTATTTTCAAACTTCAGATTTCAGACTATCTTCAGACTTTAGACTTCAAACTTTAAACTTTTTCCAACTGTCAAAGCGCGGGCCTTATTTACTTTCTGGCGAATGCACCGTTGCGGTTATGCAACCAGTAATACACCTTGACAATGCCCCCTTCTCAAATTTGATCGTCCCGATCAAGGTTTCCTATCTGGTATCTCTTCAATCGATCCAGATGAACTACTTTCATCTTACTTCTAGGGCTGCGTTGAATCCGGTACACAACATCATTTATCCTCTTGATGACTGTATAAGGACCTTCCCATGCTGGAGTTAACTTTGGGGACCTTCCTTTCTTGCGCTGTGGGTTATACAACCATACCCTATCGTCCTGTTGAAATCCCGTAGAATTAGCTCTGAGGTCGTAACGAGCTTTCATCCGGTCACTGGCTAGCGTAATCTTACTTCTCACGGCCTTATGAATTCCCAATAACCTTTCCTTCAGTTCATCCGCGTAGTCCTCTACGTTCGTGGTGCTGTCGTCTGGTGATCCGAACACCAAGTCACAAGGCAACCGTAATTCTCGACCAAATAAAATCTTCGATGGTGAAAGTCCGGTGGTGTTGTGAACTGCACTTCTATATGCCATTAGGAATAGTGGTATATGCTGATCCCAATCTCTTTGATGTTCATCCACCATTTTCGAGAGATGTTCTTCAATGGTCTTATTGAATCTCTCGACCATCCCATCAGACTGCGGATGTAAAGCTGTTGTCCTAGTCTTGTGAATACCAAGCAGATCACACATCTTCTGGAACAGTCTTGACTCGAAGTTCCTTCCTTGGTCAGTGTGAAGCTCTAAAGGAATTCCAAATCTACTGAAGACATTATGACTAATACTTCAGCTACAGTCGATGCTTCTTGGTTTGGAATGGCAAAAACTTCTGGCCATTTACTGAAATAATCCATCGCCACTAAAACGTACTTGTTGCCCTTGTGCGTTTCAGGGAATGGGCCTGCAATGTCAACAGCGATTCTTTCGAATGGCAGTCCAACGTTATATTGTTTCATTTTTCCCCTAGATCGAGTGCTTGGTCCTTGGCTGGCTGCACAAATTTTACATTGTCGACACCATTTCTTGACATCTTCGCAATAATCCACCCAGTAAAAGCGATCTCTCAGCTTGCTCAA